AAAAAGAATTTTCTTACACTGTATTCATGTCTCCGCCAGCAATTTGTGGAACCGAGATCATATAAGCTAATTGATTGGTTTTCACACACTTTTGAAACACAAGTTATATGCTTTTTTACTGCAGACAAGTTGTTGCCCCAAAACACAGCAGAAATCTTCCAATCAGGGCTGCCAACTATCCTTAGTTATGAGGTGCCATATTGAGGATAAAAAAGTGCCAAAATGTGCCAATGAGAGAAATAATAAATTATGCCAAATTGAAAAATTAAGTGCTATTTGAAGTAAAATAGGGACAAATGGTACGGTTTGAGCCAAGTTGGCATCCCTGCTTCCAATAACTTACAAGTATAAAAAGGTGAAATATCGAGGGCTTGAATTCATTAATACCCTCTATTTGCAATTTGCACAAAAACTATTTTGTGATTTTAGAAACCATGTGGGACTTATTACCTGTCGTTATAAAAGGTAACATTAATATCACTGATGACAGATAAAGCTTGGGTGGATTTTTATGGCGCGCTAACGCGGGCCGCCGCGAAGCTAAGCAAATTTAATGTTTGAAAGAGAAATAATGTCAATTGATTTTATCTCGTTTTTAAAAAGGTAATAATGTCAATTGACTTTATTTCGCACCAGGGAGGGAAATAAAGTCAATTGACCTTATTTCCGTTGATCTTATTACCTGTCACCCAGATTTCCTGCAAATAAATTAGAATTTACAAAAGGAATTTTACTACTAATTGTCTACTTTGCGTACTTTTCTACTACCATTTTCGCACCAAGAGATTTCATTCTCCCCCTTTCTCCGTCCTTCGTAAATGCAACCTTTTGTAAGGGAGTGTCAAACCGCAGCTGTCAATAATTATCTAACCTTGTATTATTGAATCATGGGCCGGTATGACTTTGGTTGGTTTGTTGTCGTTCGCACTTTAAGGTATCCAGGTTTGAGGAAATGCTTGTAATTGTAGCGTAGGGTATACAAAAAGGACACAGTTGATGAGTCTCTTTTGCAGCTTCGCTATAAAGAGGTCATCTGATCCACCTGCTCTGGAAGTGCGAAGCCAGACTTTGTCTCCGCAGCGTCGTTTTATCCCCGTCTGCGTGGCGGTGGCTTGGGATGTGTTCACCAATCTGGTGTTTGCTGCAAATTTAAGTTAAACAAGTCAAGAGTTTCACTTAATAATATTTAATAATTTACCATCAAAATGCAAGAAAATTAAGAAATGCAGGGTGGTTTATTTATATTTTTTTTTTTGTTTGCCACAATCCTTCAAACAATCACCGGAGCAACATGGCATCACTACTTGAGATTCACAAAGGTGCGAACCGAAATAAAGCAACGGAAGGCGAAATAGTATGCATCGAACCTTTGACCGCACCCAAGCAATTGCTTGTAAACAGGAACTCCAGATTTAGGGTCTTATTCTTTTTATTATTATTATTATTATTATTATTAGGCGATTTTGGCGTTCATTAAAGCTCGCCAGTCATTTGCTTGTGTGCCAATTGAGAACGCCAAGTAAAGCCAAGTCCTTCTTTACCTGGTCTGTTCATCTCGTCCTCTGCTACTACCACCGAATTCTGAGTTGAATACTTTCAGAGCTGGAGCGTTTTGGTCTATTTTTTAGGGTCAGTTAAGAAAATATTCATGCCAACTAAGGGGTGTAAGTTAAGTCAATATATTCAGATTCGCCAATTTATTTTTAGGCTCTAAAGTATGGCGCAGGTTTAATAAAAACAACTTAAGTTAGAAAAAAAAACTGCCCTTAAGATTAAGTTCATCAAATCCAGCTGACTTATGCATTTTTTTTTTACTTTCAGATTATATGGTACTATGCCAAATCCGATTAAATCGGCACCAAGCACATATAAAAATCAACCTGGTCGCATTGAAGACTACGTAACAGGACGTTCGTCCGTGTCCGAAAAGGAACGCAAAGAGGTATAAAGCAAAATAAAACTAAAATGTGAAAACAAGAAAAATAAAAAAATGTCCAAATATTTGAAATGCAACTGCAATACAGCCAGGTTATCACGAACGAATCGATGGCGATTACAATTTCAAATCGCAACATTTTGAAATCACAATATACATATGTACATACATACCTTCCCATGCATTTGTAAATTTTATATTAGCATTCCACGCTGTTTTGTTCACTTTCACTTGACATTAACACAACATGACATAAATAACTTTTAGAATTACGAGTATGAAATTTTAAGCACAAACTCTTTGCGACACTTGCATACATACATACATATATACTTACACATGTACAGTACACTTGTAAACTCATTAACATGTACATACATATTTCACTCGACATAAAAACGTAAAATTTATTTATAGTTAATATTTTATTCAATTTCGATTACGTTTACTGGTTAATTAAGTACTTATCACGTTTCCAGGTTATATTGTCAAGGTCTTTGCAGTTTACGTCATCGTGCTCTATACATAGTAAAAAAAAGTTACTCTACATAATTATCTATATACTTATCTAAGTGAAAACTTTTTATTCTAATGCAGCTAAATTGTTGTTTTTTTTTTATTTTGATTTATTTTGATTTATTTATTATTTGTTTGTTTTAACTCAATCTATTTTATTCCACGTTTTCTAGTGGTGGGACGAAGTGATGGACATCTTTAATGGGGTATGCATCACCTTTTGATTAAATTATACATACTTATGTACAAATACAAATTTAAATTTGATTAGTTGATAAATGAGATTTTGCCTGAGAATACATAACTATTTGGGTCTACTTGGTTTTGGGAATGATTTGCGTTATAGTAAATTCATTACTTTATTTTTCTTGTTGAGGTGCTGACTATATTAAAAACCGTAAAATTTTTAAACAAAATGTTTGTAGCTAGCTGCTCTTGTTCTAAACGACTTATCGACTCAATTGAAAACTAAATTATCCAATATTTAAGGCCTCATTAATCCAACTGTTGACGATTATCCCGAACACTAAAGGGCTGTTCAGGATGTTGTGGAAATTGTCATGGATTTGCAGTTGGAGTTGCATTTGCAAATTTTATGCTTGAATTATTTGAATTCCTCTGTTAAAATTCTACAGGAAAAGCCCATAGAATCCAAAAGAACAATTTTTTGTTGGACCTAGCCAGCAGAGTATTAATTACTTTTCGAAGGTTAATTTTCCACGAAATTTTTTGGGGGTAAAATCTAGGGATTATATAATGAAACTATTCTTCCCATGCAGGCTGTTATGTTAACTTTTGAAGCCATATTTTTCAAATTTTTATCTTATTCCTATCGAAAGATTCACGATTTTATCCATTGACACTAGCAAATTCGTACACTGCGGGCCGTCCTCTCAAATTTTTCGTCTTACCTTCGGCATTTACAGTGGGATCTTACAGTATGATATATCGAGTATGATATATCGATGTTTTGTTCCAATGTTCATTGACATTGGCATTGACAGGTGCCCCGTTCTAGTACTTAGCTCCCAAATCTCAGTACTCCATCGCCCGTAAATGAAAACGCATCAAAAATCAACAAACTTTTGCTAAGAAAGTACATTGATTATTCCAGTAATTAAAAAAAAAATTTTGCCGAATGTAGGTGTCGATGAAAAATGTAAAAACAAAACAAAAAATGTTTTTTTTTCTCGCAATTTCTTTGCCAAAATACTTTAGACCTCAGGGGTGTACGGCGAACTTTCATATGTACTATGTATGTATATATCCACGCCACTAAAATATCCTTGGATATGGGGCATTGGCCCTGATCCGAAGTCGACCATTTACCTAGTTTCAAATTTTAAATTCTGAGTTAAATTTTACGATTTGGAATGGTCTCAAATTAATCTTATTTTTACTAAATGCAATCAAGGCCTCTTCTAGAAAATTAAAGCAGCTACCAACTATCATTGCACTTTTATTTTTGTTTCTTCGAAGAGAGCAATGAAAAATTTAAAATTTTCCATGGAAAACGAAATCGTGAAAAATTTACTAAAAAGTCTGGCGTACAGTTTCAGGCCACTTAATTTCGGGTGCGCTTAGAAGCTGAGGTTGCATGCATCTAAAATATTTTAGCATTGGATCTTCTCCTAATACCATTGGCAGTTCCATCGGCAGCCCCATTGATAAGATGTATGCGCAATGTACAGATTTTAAATTATCCCCCCCCCCCAACACATTGCACTTTCTGTAGTTTTTGGCGGACCTATGAAAAAATGGTTAAATAAACAATTAACAAAAGAAACCGAGCTTTCCGAACGAATAATATTAATTTTCAAGAATTCTATACCATTTCTACGAAAAGTTGCGTTTCCTCCATATAAAATATATGGAAAACTTTGAGTGCTTTTAGCGACCTCTATATATTTTTTCAGTTCAAAATAAACAAATAGGGGTATATTTTTTCGGTAAAGAACAATCCTAGGGGGTGAGAATTTTGGACCACCTTAATGCACATTAGGGGAGGAAACAAGTTAAAAAATATCCTTATAAATTTTCTATGTAACTTTTTTCAAATCGATTCTTACGAATAAAATGTTTTTTTTTTTATTGAAAGTTATTTTTATTAAAACGACCGTAAAATGGGTGTCCAACCATAAGTTCGGTTTATCAAGTTTTGACTGTACTAGAATTATAATTTTGCTCCTATAAGCGCTTTTATTGAGAGTTACCTTTCAAATATTTCAAAAACGGAACCAAATGTACGAGCATGCATTTAGACACTGGTAACTACGATCCTATAAAATTTTGTAATAGATTTAACCAAAGAAAATGGGAAATTAATGTCTTAGGGAGATGTTCTATTATTTTGAACAGGGTGTATTTCATATACATATGTATGTACATACATACAAAGTTATTATAAATATGGGTGTATGCAATATTTTTACTCTTGATACTTTCGTCTTTTTCGCAATATACTGCCTCCCCTGCCTCTCTCGCTATCGTGGTTATACCGTTAGTGGTTGAGCGAACAAACCGTTGTACCGCGTATATTCATCGAATACGTTGATGATATAAGCGTAAGTTAATTAAACCATTTACATGCACTTGATTAAAAATATAGAGCACATGTTATTTACGCACACATGTGAAAGGAGCACTCTCATACATGAGTATGTATGTTTACACAAAAAAAAAAAAATAACAAATATAAATAGCACTGCACCAAACCACTTGAATGGAATTCTATATATTAGCACTGTCCTTAAATGAAACGACTTTGTTATATATTGAAACACAATGCAACAATTAAAGAGAGAGCGAACCTTAAAGTTGAAAATAAATGTTAAGGTCCTCAAAAGAGTTGATAGCTGCGTTCTAAAAAAAGTAACGAAATGCTTCATCAGCAATACTTTACTGTCTTTATAGTTTTGAAAAATTCTCAGTTTTAAATTTTATTTTACTTTTGTTTTTATTCAAGTTTGGTTAGTTATTTATTTGAATTAATTTACTTATTTTTTATTATTTAATTTTTTTTTTCTTTTATTTAAAACATATTTTTTGAAGTTTGGGAATACATTAAGTTTACGGAATGGAGAAAAGTAAAATAAATTTAATTTTAATAATTTTTTCGGCTGAAAATTTTTCTGACTCATTCTTAATGTTTAGGCGCGTCTGCTAACACCAGGCGCCTAAATACATGCTATGTACTGCTGCATGTGCAAAAATTTCCTTTATGCAATTTAGGAAATTTTTGCACATGCACTTCTCAACTGCCAAGTAATTGAACTTTCTTAAGTTTCAATAAGATGGCACTTCAAAGTATGCTCGGCCTAGTCTGATGCATCCTCCGGACACTGCTTCCGGAGTCTTCTGCGGACTCTGCATGGCTTACAACCATGCAGAGGTGGTAATAGTTGATTACCATTGGCCACAGTGCCTACCCACTACTTTTTGGTCCAATAAATATTTTTTTATATACATACATGCAAACATACTGGTCTCCCCTCTCACTGAGTTAGTCACTTAATATCTTGGGGTGTCAACACTTTAAAGCATTTTCCAACTGCCAAGCCTCAATTGCAGTTTATGCCTGTTGGAAAAGGAAGATTACAACTCGAAGGTGGTAATTTAGGTAAAAGCAAACGGATAGTATACAAGCAAAAATTAAGAAAAAATCCATTCCGATCCCCCAAGGTTAAAACTCTTGGAACTTACCTGAGCTCTTAAATGTAATTAAGCTTTTGGTGGAAATGGGCTATTAAGTCGAGATTTGTTTTGCTCCATACCTTCCTTCTTTTCATCTGCCTTCGAATGGCCGGACTGCAATATAATATAAACCCAACATGTCGCAATTCGGTCTACACGTGCCCAGAAGAGCCCACCTAATAACCTTCGATTCCAGAGTCTTAGCCCAGTAGCACACCACATCTTTATACGGCGATAACTTCTCAATAATCTCTTGCCTTGCTAACTCATCGGCCATGAAGTTTCTTACGATATCACTGTGGCTCGGAACCCGTACGACCTCGGAGTAAGCATTCTGTTGTGATCGATAGGGAATTCGAGTACCCTGTGAAAACGGCTCAAAGGCCTTAACTACCGCCTGTCAGAATATATATACATACAAATGTGCACATCCTCGAGAAATATAATTTACATCTTCGCTTAAATACAGCACTTATTCGGAAGCCTTTCCACTGGATCTTAGTTCCAAAAATTACACCTCGCCTAGTCCTTTTTGTACAATTTCAGTTTCTCCGTAAATAAGTTTTCTGGATCTTGGTTTCGAACATTAGATCCCGCCTAGTCCTTCCCTGCAGTAATATAGGCGGTGCAGTTTCTGACTTGATGACCTATGTTCAGTTAAGGACGGTATCAAAACAAATTCCAGAGAGTTTATAGTTAAACATAAACTTAAAATACGTGCTTCTTATTCTAACCTTTGCTGCTATAACAACGGTCTCATTCTTTTCGTTAAGCGTAACAGTTAGGGTGGTTCGAAATGCCCCAATAATTGCAAACTACAAAAAGTCCAACTTTTTCTCAACCTGAGCTGAATAAACCTATTCCTATATTGCTGTAAGACCCATGCTAAACTTCCGGGCTTTGGGGCAGAACAGTCTGCTGAATTTGGTCAACGGCCCTTCGATCTATACACGCGCACGGGGTCTGGTTTGTTAAGAAAAAATGAAGTTCGGCTGACAATTGATGAAGTTGGATTTCAGGAGTTTTGCATGTAGGCTTCGCACCAAAATGGGATCTGTTTAGAAAGCAAATCAGAGCTCTAAAATGAAATTAGTATGTAATTGGATATTTCTAGAATATAGCATAGTTAAAAGCGGCAATGATGATAATGTATACTACCCGATCTGAAGCTAGCTGTATTCCATACTCGATAGGGGACCCAGCCAGGGCGACACCTAGCGGGAAATGTGTAATTGCATCAAATGAACATTTCTGGACAAGTTCAGGGCTATTTCACTACTACTATAATTCACAGCTAGTTTAGGATGATTTCGGAATAATTAGGGACCTGTTCAGGGTTATATTAGGGCTTAGCTCAGAACCATTTGGGGAAAAATTTGGCACTAGCTCTGGCCCATTTCAAGACTATCTTGGAAACATTCTCCTGTGCTCTCATCCAATTCCGTAAACTTACCAAATTTTCTACTATTATAAAAACTTATTTATTTATTATAAAAAATACTGTACAGCAATTGATAAAACTGTATTGAATGCATTTATTTAGTCACTAAAAACAAAAACAAAAATAAAATCTAACAAAAACATTTTTTCTCACTTTTTAACATAATTTGACTAATATGTAGCACCTGGATCAAGCCAAGCTCTCGCCACACTACACTGAAGGAAATCTTTCCAGGTAAAATTTTTAATTTAATTTTTAGTAACTTCAATTCATTTAGAGTAATCGCCATTTTCTACTTTCAGAGCCCTAGCCAAAGAGTCTGGTTACACGAGTGATTCGAATCTGGTATTCCGCAAGCGCGAAGCACCACAAGCCAGTCCACTTAGCCCAGTCGAGCAAAAGCAAGCCTATAAGAGCGTACAAGCGGGCGGCGAACCACCATTATTTGGTTTTAGAAAGCCAGCACCAGAAAGACCTAGAGGTAAGCACAGAAAAAATAAAACAGAAAGCTTAAGCTTACCAAATGCACAGAAGTACTTTATTGGCAAAAGCAAATTTTATGGATTTGAGGAAATTAACCTGTTTACTATGTAGTATTTTCGATGCTAATGTTGGTTTTGAAGAAGCTGGTTAGACAAAGAAAATTTTGAGTTGCACATACATACACACACCATAACACAAAGTACACGGTTACAAGTACAAACACACTTGAAACCTCTCGAAATATATTTGAAAAGTAGCTAGTTTAACATTTTTCATTAATTGTTGGGTTCTTTTGGTGTGTGGGTAGTATTCTTTAACCCTTACCGTCGTTTATTCAAAAGTTTAAGAAATTTTAAAATTTAATTCACCATCAACCGTTTACGCCCGCGTTGACAGTTTTGCGCACAGAACGAATTATTTTTCACCCTGGAACCGCACCGCACCGCCTGGATGGGCTCACAAATTGTTGCCACTCTAAGTCTACCAAAAAAAAAAATAATAAATTTTAATTTCCGCTTTTTCGCACTTCGAATCACAAAGAATACCTCGATTACATACAGATCTCGCCAACGCTGACCAAAATTCGTGTGATCTCAGCGCCAGCCAACGGCGCCAACGATAGTTGCCACGACAAAGCCGAAGCTAAACAAGT